TGTGTGTGTGTGTGTGTGTGTGTGTGTGTGTGTGTGTGTGTGTGTGTTTTTTTCACTCTGTGCATTATCCAAAACTTTTGGTTCAAAGAAATCAAGCAAGCAAAACAAGCAGGCCTACAAATGACTTTTGACATGAGTATATTCCAGTGTGATCTCGGTTAATAACTTCTCTCATCGTCAGCCCTGTAACCTGCTTTTGAGTCTAGTGTCCAATAGGAAGTAAGCAAATAAACTTTATGAAATAATCATATACATACATTGATAGAAATGTATTAATGAACCAATCAAATGTGAAATTATTAAAACTCAACTTCAATAGTATTTCATTGTAGATTTTTATTGTGAATGCACTTTTATTTATTTTTTACCAATGTCCCTTTTATTTCAAGACTCCTAAGGTCCTTTTTTCTTCATAATTCCACTTTTTATGACATTGGACTCACTCCCTGTCTCCCAGTGAACCTGCTAAAGTAAAGTTATTCCAAACAGTAAAGTTGTTCACAAAAACAAACTGAAAGAGGACGAAAAAAAGGTTGGTTGATAATTGTTTGTGTTTTTAGTTTTGACCCCTTTCACATTACACACCGTCATTTGATTCACTATTACTGTAATATAAAGATCCTGGTTTACTTCAGAAAGATGATGACTTGGCCTTAACAGACCTGTGATGGTGAAATGACCATGAACTGTCTTCTCAGTGCAAGCCAGGCTTCCTCAGCCGTGTACTGTCGGCCACCTGGTGGAGAGCTACCTGGACATCGCCGCCGTGCCTCGCCGCTCCTTCTTTGAGCTGCTGTCTACCTTTGCCACCAATGAGATGGAGCAGCAGAAGCTGGTTGAGTTCAGCTCAGCGGCAGGCCAGGACGAGCTGCATAGCTACTGCAACCGGCCCCGACGCACCGCGCTGGAGGTGAAGGATCGGGGTTAGGGTCGGTGCTGGGCTGGGAGCTGACAGTTCAGTCTTGTCAAAAAAAATGTGCCTTTCATTTAGCTTTTTACTTATTTTAAAGCCACTGTGTGTACGATTTCATGTGATTACAGCATCCTTCTTAAATTACTTTTATAGCATATATTTGTTTGTAGAAAAATTTGGCAATCTTGCTGTAGATAGGTAGTCAAAGTGTTGCTTTCAGCTCATTCATTAGATCATTGCGGTCTGCCTCAGTGTCTTTTATGTTCAAATCATGCACATAAAGGCTTTGAAATTGTAAACGTGTGCTCTTGCTGTTGTAGGTCTTGGCAGATTTCCCCCATACTACAGCAGAAATCAAAGTAGACTATCTCCTAGATCTATTCCCTGAGATCCAGCCTCGCTCATTCTCCATCGCCTCCTCACTCCAGGTAGTCCTTCATGACAACTATTTAACTGCTATGAAAATACAGTGGGGAAACAAATATTTAGTCAGCCACCAATTGTGCAAGTTCTCCCACTTAAAAAGATGAGATGCCTGTAATTTTCATCATAGGTACACTTCAACTATGAGAGACAGAATGGGGGGCAAGAATCCAGGAAATCACATTGTAGGATTTTTAATGAATTAATTGGTAAATTCCTCGGTAAAATAAGTATTTGGTCACCTACAAACAAGCAAGATTTCTGGCTCTCACAGACCTGGAACTTCTTCTTTAAGAGGCTCCTCTGTCCTCCACTCGTTACCTGTATTAATGGCACCTGTTTGAACTCGTTATCAGTATAAAAGACACCTGTCCACAACCTCAAACAGTCACACTCCAAACTCCACTATGGCCAAGACCAAAGAGCTGTCAAAGGACACCAGAAACAAAATTGTAGACCTGCACCAGGCTGGGAAGACTGAATCTGCAATGGGTAAGCAGCTTGGTGTGAAGAAATCAACTGTGGGAGCAATTATTAGAAAATGGAAGACATACAAGACCACAGATAGTCTCCCTCGATCTGGGGCTCCACGCAAGATCTCACCCCGTGGGGTCAAAATGATCACAAGAACGGTGAACAAAAATCCCAGAACCACACGGGGGGACCTAGTGAATGATCTGCAGAGAGCTGGGACCAAAGTAACAAAGGCTACCATCAGTAACACACTACGCCGCCAGGGACTCAAATCCTGCAGTGCCAGATGTGTCCCCCTGCTTAAGCCAGTACATGTCCAGGCCCATCTGAAGTTTGCTAGAGAGCATTTGGATGATCCAGAAGATTGGGAGAATGTCATATGGTCAGATGAAACCAAAATAGAACTTTTTGGTAAAAACTCAACTCGTCGTGTTTGGAGGAAAAAGAATGCAGAGTTGCATCCAAAGAACACCATACCTACTGTGAAGCATGGGGGTGGAAACATCATGCTTTGGGGCTGTTTTTCTGCAAGGGGACCTGGACGACTGATCCGTGTAAAGGAAAGAATGAATGGGGCCATGTATCGTGAGATTTTGAGTGGAAACCTCCTTCCATCAGCAAGGGCATTGAAGATGAAACGTGGCTGGGTCTTTCAGCATGACAATGATCCCAAACACACCGCCCGGGCAACGAAGGAGTGGCTTCGTAAGAAGCATTTCAAGTTCCTGGAGTGGCCTAGCCAGTCTCCAGATCTCAACTCCATAGAAAATCTGTGGAGGGAGTTGAAAGTCCGTGTTGCCCAGCGACAGCCCCAAAACATCACTGCTCTAGAGGAGATCTGCATGGAGGAATGGGCCAAAATACCAGCAACAGTGTGTGAAAAGCTTGTGAAGACTTACAGAAAACGTTTGACCTCCGTCATTGCCAACAAAGGGTATATAACAAAGTATTGAGATGAACTTTTGGTATTGACCAAATACTTATTTTCCACCATAATTTGCAAATAAATTCTTTAAAAATCCTACAATGTGATTTTTCTGGATTTTATTTCTCTCGTAGTTGAGGTATACCTATGATGAAAAGTACAGGCCTCTCATCTTTTCAAGTGGGAGAACTTGCACAATTGGTGGCTGACTAAATACTTTTTTTCCCCACTGTATATGCTGTGTTTCACCTGGATGCCTCAGGCAAAACTGTAAATGAAATCCATTGAGTGGTAAAGACACAAATGAAATGACTTATTCTAAAGCCTTCTCTCCACACAGGCTCACCCACACAGGCTTCAGGTCCTGGTAGCTGTGGTTCATTACAAAACCAAGATGTATAAACCAAGAAGAGGCCTCTGCTCGACCTGGTTAGCCTCCCTGGACCCGGCTCAAGGTCTCTCACCATATTTAACAAGTCTTTATATTGCCTCTACAGAGATTACTTCATTCTGGTTGGCTGGATGTTGTGTGTTCATTTCAGACAATCCTGTCATCTGTTAGTAACGGGGGCGTTTCTAGGATTCATAGAAAGGTGGGGCTTAGCCCCAAGGGGAGTGGCATGTTTGCACGCGTAGCATGCAGCAATTTTTTTTGGGGCCCGTTTGGGGCCGTGGCTATCCATTGTTTCATACAGTTCATAGATTGGTTCAATCAGAAAGTTTTTTTTGCTCTAGTTTTGCTTGTATTCAGTATATGATAACACGAGACAGAATTTCAGGGTCATAGTGAAATTTGACAACACAAATATGAACTTTTCTCAAATAAAGAGAGAGAAATAATTTTCCTGCTTGTAAAGGAAAGACGGATAAACTAGCTTTCATATCCGCATCACTCCCAAATCCTAATTCTTAAAGGGACCGCACACAATGGATGGAGAATGGACCTGACAGTGTCAACTTTATATCGTTAAGTATGATGATAGGCTGTTGGATTGTAATTTGAAGGGGGAGAAAACATACAAACCAGAACGCACGCACATATGTAGCATGTTAGAGTTATAAATAACTTGTCCATGTGAGAAACAATAGTTTAATTTAATGACATCACCAAAAAAAAAAAAAGTTAGTATTATACAGCTTTTCCTACTTTTTGAAATAGATGTGTCAACACATTTGGCCTTCTTGCAAAAACACTCATATGAACAGATCCATTCCTAAGTGGCACATACGAGTGATGTAAGAGAATGTCTCGTACTCCGTTTGCTCACAGGGTACAAACAAAAACCTACATTTACTGTAAGTAATTACTGCTACAATACAACAAGAAACAGTTGTGTTGTCTAAAACAAACAAATAAAAGGCAATCGCTAATATTACAATAACACTAAGGGGGATACAAAATATTGACTTCTATAATAGCTCAAATGGAAAATTAACCATAATGTACATTAATGCAAAGGACAGATTTCATCAGAAACAGTCATATCACCACGCTGCTGCTCTCTTTAACGTGAATACTAAAAGCAATACTAACTCACCTACTCATTCATGCTCACACTCTTTATTTACTGCACACTCTTATTTACTGCACACTCTTTATTTACTGCACTCTTTATTTACTGCGCACTTTATTTACTGCGCACTTTATTTACTGCTCGCACTTTATTTACTGCGCACTCTTTATTTACTGCGCACTCTTTATTTACTGCGCACTCTTTATTTACTGCACACACTCTTTATTTACTGCGCACACTCTTTATTTACTGCGCACACTTTATTTACTGCTCACACTTTATTTACTGCGCACACTCTTTATTTACTGCTCACACTCACAAAACAAAACCAACAGTGTTTCTGGCAATAGAAGCATATATGCAGAGGCTTGAAAAGTGAAACAATCATTCTACGAAATCATCACATATAAGCGGTGGTCAAAAAACCATGTGGCCCCACGCCAAACAACAAAGAGTCTGGCAATGCACAAATAAGAAGCAGATGTGACAAAAACCTCCACATAAGGTGAGTGTCTCCATACTCATACATACAATTACTCGAGTTTAAACACATCGGTGGTTAATTGAGATTCCGACAACATTAACATCCCTAAATAAGCCACAGATCGTACTGTTGCCTCCAACAAATACCTGTCTCACTGACCTATTAAAACCTATTGCCTCTATTCTATGAAGTTTTGTGGTAGTAAACCATCTGATGTCAGAATCAGAGAAGAGATGAGAAATTTGGAACAAAATTTTGAACTCACCCATGTTGGTTTTTAAAAAGCTGACTTTTCAGAATGAAAGGTATCACTTTTGCAAATGTTTCATTTTAAAAGCCGACCAGGAAAGTCAGGGATTTGACCCTTTTAGCCAATGGGACACTTTGTAATGTGAAATGTATGCAGGAAGTGTTAGTCGATAGCTTAGCCCAGAAACCAAACAAACCGTGATGTAGAACACACTGCAGTCATGAAGTAAGAACATATTTTCTTTAAAATGGAAAGACTAAGAGCAGTAGAGTGGCAATATGACTTTACTACCGAGAGTTGGTGCTGTGGAAATGTATCAAGAATCTAGAAGAATCTATCGAGAGACAACAGGTAAACATGCAGACAAACTGTATCAACAAGATCAGAAAACTGGGAGAAAATATGATTTAATGTATTCACAGAAATTAGGAGTCAAGACACATCTCTAAGCCAGTTTTAAAGAAACTTGTTTTCTCTGCAACTCTGGATAATAAACACTTCTATTTTAGAATTTCTTTTCTAATTTAACTTTTGGAAAGCAACTGTGTGCCAACTAAATGCAGTACACCTCACCAAGTCCTTCAGTCTATAAGATACACTACATAACTTGGAGAATCCAATCTCCTGATGCAAAATAAATTGATTACCTGTTGCATTGCATTACAATTAATTAATAATGATTTTTTTGTTGTTGTGTCCTATTAACCGGTGCTGTAGGGGAGGTGTATGTGCCTCAGTGGGTGAAGAAGGGAAGTCTGAAGTTCCCCAAAGAGAAAGACACCCCTGTGATAATGGTTGGACCTGGAACAGGAGTGGCTCCCTTCAGGGCGGCTTTACAAGAAAGGATGGCTGAGGGAAAGAATGGTGAGACCTTTACCTTTCTGACTCTCTTATTTTCTAAATAAATGACATTACTCCACATCATTTCACAGCTTTGACATGACACACGTCCTCCTCCTCTTCTTCCTGCTGTTTAGCCAACGTCCTGTTCTTTGGCTGTCGCTCTGAGTCCAAAGACTTCTACTTCAGGTCAGAGTGGGAGGCCATGATGAAGACTGGACATCTGACCCTCTTCACTGCCTTCTCAAGAGACCAGGTCAGACAAAAGTACTGTATGCACATGATCATAGTGTACATCTTCTACGGTGTCTTTTTACTTTATTGGGTTGTCCATCCATCCATCTGTCTGCTGCATTCTTGTGAACACATTATCTCAGGAAGGCCTGGAGGGAATCTTTTCAAAGTTGGCACAAACTTCCACTTGAACTCGAGGATGAACTGAATAGATTTTGTAGGTCAAACATAAAGGTCACTGTGACTTCACAAAACATGTTTTTGGCCAAAATTGTCTGGATTCTTGTAGACCAGCTGCTGTAACCAAACAAATTTAACAAAAACAATCTGAATCAGGCGATACGAATCATCGGCGATTGGAAATTTATATTTCCTATTTCAGTGATATTTGCTCACTTTTTTTCTCTTGTGCTGATGTCATCCGTGACTCAAAAGCATGATACAATCCTAATGGTGAGTGTTATGACCCGTTGCACCCCTAGCAGATAGTCATTGACTTCAGCGGCTTAATGGAATCTGTGACGATTTAAGGACACAGAAACAACTGTCAGCATCTCTATTTTCATAAAATATTTATTTTGCAAAAATAAAATCTCTAGAATTGTTTTGGAAAGAAGGCTGCCGTACTGTACCTGCCCTCTTTGTGGTCAAAACAAGAGAAAACTGGAATAGTGGTTAAAGGAAACACCCAACCAGATGTTTTCTGCCACTACATACAATTTGTGTGTATTTTTTTGACTAATAAGGAAACTGTTTTTGTATTTCAGGAGGAAAAGGTGTATGTGCAGGACCAGGTAAGGGAGAACGCTGAGCTCCTTTGGGACTTGATTGCCAATAGACGTGCCTGCTTTTACATTGCTGGGTGAGTCGAAGGCACCAAAACCATCTCTCCTATGTTCACATCTGAGTTTGTCTGAGGAGCGCCACCAGTAGTCTGAGGGCCAGGCTTAACTCTGTTGCCCATCAGATGTCAGTAGGTACCAAGGTGGCATTACGACAGCTTAATCATTTCAATGGAGGCTAAATGCTATCACGACGGGGGTTTACAAATGTCTGTTAATAATAATAATAGTGGCAGCCCTGTGACAAAGTGACACTCCTCTGACAGCTTGCGGCAGACTTACAACCTTGTGTTTTTCCTATGCAGTAATGCTAAACAGATGCCAACCAGTGTGTGCGACGCTCTGAAAGAGGTGTTCCAGCAGGAGGGAGGTGTGTCCTCCGAGGATGCCTCACAGATGCTGGCAACCATGGAGAGGACAGGCCAGTTCCAGAGTGAGACCTGGTCTTGATCACATGCCCTTAACCCACTACTTCAGAGTTCACATTAAGGTGCTGCTACCATGTTGACTGCGTGATACAATCCCTGATTTGGAATAAAAGTGTCAGCATATTTGAGCATGGAAGTTCATTCGAGACCTTTTGACATTACCTCAGCAGTGTACTGTAGAAGTCATTCCCAAAGACTGGATCGAGACCCCCAGGTGGGTTGCAGATTTGTCTGTTTCTCTCTCCATCTTCTGCTGTCTCTCTCTCCTCTCTCCCTCCATCATCTGATGTCTGTCTCTCTTACTCTTCACCAACAGTAGAGTGAGTGTTTGTTTTGGAGCCATGCTGTAATGTAAATTTATGCAACATGAGGTTTGTCAAATAAAATCAAACCCCTCCATTCATCCCCTAGCCCCCTGGTTATGAAGGAGTAATAACCGAGCTCTTACATCTCTTGTAGTAGCAAAGAGCAGTGTACAGTCAGGAAGCAGCTTGTCATTCATTTAATCAACAGTTCTCAAGGCCCAAAAACATTGATTCAGTCATCCCTAATTGAAAACAGTGAAATACAGCCACAAAGTCTGTTAACACATGAATCTTCAAATCTGTCTTTAATAAGCTGTAAAATGTCCATAAAACATCTCCATAACATTGGCGATGTGTCTTGGTGAGATTAGACGATGATGATGCTCCGCTTGTGAAAAGTCCAGTGACATTAGAACCAGGAAGTGATGCAGCTGAATCCAGTGAACATTAGCCTTCTGTTCAATGACAAACTATAAACAGACTAAGAGTGATGCAGTAGTTTGTAGTCAGGTGATCACACAGCACTAGGACTTGTCCATTACCAGTTTCTATTGGCTGGCTGTGCATATCCACACAGTTGAACTTGGACCCGAGATCCTGCTCGACATCACACTGACACAGGAAATGCATGCTTGAATTTGACCATCTTGAACTGGAGACTTAGCAACTATTCGTAAGACAGAAGTGTTATGTGGCCGTACCTTTAGACCTGGTAGAGCAGACAAGATGACTCCGCAATTAGCACAGAACAGAAGACTGATTTATGGCGTTAGCTACACACACCACGCACTGCAGATCATTTCAGATAATAAATTGATCCCTGATTAGAAATACTGTGTATTCTCTAACTGTCCCATGGAGGAGGTCCTATCTGAGAGCCAGTGTGTGGACTTGGTAGATCTCCTTTGGGAAGTTCGTTTGTTGCTCTTCGTGGAGGATGCGGAGGCCTGCTCTGCTCACCAGACTATGAACTATTTCCAGGTCTCGGCAGACGCTGCTGTCTACCTCATCGGGGACCACGCCCTCATACGACACATTGTCCTTGATGATGATGAGGCCGTTAGGCCGCAGGGCTTTCTGGCAACGCTGCAGGAAGTCCACCAGGTGGGCGTCTGTCAGGTGGCCTGAAGGGAAAATCAGGAGAAAGGTTTTATATTTATTGTCCATCAGTGGTGGGCCGTGCATTTTATGCCTGGGCCTTCTGTGCTGTCCTACTACACTTGGAACAGCTACGGTGCAGATACATGAATCCGTGCATCACGGGACGCTGCGTCATTAACGGACAATGCATAGTCAAATCAACGTAATTAACACAATGACAAAGTCTTAAGAACCAGTCACATATATTTATATGACAACAAAGCATGACATCAATCCAGCAGAACTGCAGTGGATCCACACATTCCACCACACAGGAGCACGAGCCATCAAATATTATTCATAAAAACAACACGATAGACAAATGAACAGTAGTAACGTTACTGCAGATGTAAAAACAAACAGTTTGTCATTTACCGAATGCTGTTCACTTAAAGACAAAGTCCATCCTCCTTTGTTTGTTGACATAGAGTTTAATCCCAGTACATCGTTTCAGTTCCAGTAAGAAGTCCTTCTAGATTCATGGACGCCAGTGACAGTCGAGCCTCCCCAGTTGTATTTCGCCGGTCCGTGGGCGTGCCAGCCGGCGGTCTGCGCGGAGGTGGGATCCCGGCCGCAGGGGGACCGCGGTGCGGTTGTGGAGCTCCGTTTCCCTGCGAATGTGTTTGTTGATCTGCAGATCCACTCGGGTTTCTCCAAAAGTTTTCAAAAGCACCGTAGTGTCCTGCGCTATGGCGTCCTCAGGTTAGCATAGCATAGCATAGCATAGGTCCAAACACCAAGATGCTCAGTTAAAATGAAAAGCATTCAGCCATAAAATGTGCAACGCTGTCATCCAGGAACACCGTTCATACAAATAAATAAACTACACCAAGCAAAACCCTACAAATGTTATAATTTCTTCCATACCTTTCAATTTGAACTCTTACTACTCCAACTAACTTCTGCCAGCTTCCTTAAATTTCACATTAGTCACGTGTTCGCCCACTGACCAATCACGGCGCACTTTAATGCTAACGTACTTAGAAGGCTACCTCGGTGCCACTGGCACGTCAAAGATTACGCCCAACATGTCAAACTAAAGATCAGATTGGTTGAAGAATATGACAATCAACAATATCGTCCCCATTCACTTAAACTGCAAAGGCTCTCTAGCGGGCATCGGGCCTCTCTCCTTACATAGAGACATAGAGGATGAATCTGATTGGATAAAAGCTCTACTTAACACAAGCTGTGCTGGAAGCAGAGCAACAGAGGAAGACAGGAGCTGTGCAATGAGAAAATAAGATAATGGGAAAAATTATTGTAATACATGTGGTTTATTTGTGAAAAATGATTAAATTATAAAATATTTATAACTGTGATTCTGTTTAGGCCAGCAGAGAAGGCTTAGCTGGCCCTGACGGCGCACCACTGTTTGTCCATAGACCCCTGATGGAGTGCTTTTGCATCACTTCTGCCTTAACCCTACTCATATCTAACTACGTTTGAGCAAGCGCAACAAGAATACTGCAAGGATACATAGGTGGTATGGCTTCCTTCTTCATTTCTTTTAAGACATTTCTATCACCAACAAGGTTTAGCTAAAGTTACGTCCAATCAGGTCACTCAGGTTTGTTGTCCAGCGATATTCCAGTAGATGGATCAATAGAAGAGCAACGTGTGTGTGTGTGTCTTAAACTATGCTACAAAAAAATAAAGGATATGTTGCGGCAACCCAAAGTAAATTAAAGCTGCGAGCAGCGATGAACAGGCCCTCGCAATCTGCAGCGCGTCGGGGGTGCCGGCGGGACTCCGGCCTGCGCGTCCGAGAACGTCGGACGGCACGTCCGACAGCGAGACGTTTTTAATCCCGCGTGGACCGCCTGATGCTGGAAATTATGCTTTGCAAATAGTCTAATGCTTCCTGTATCCGCTGCCTGGCGCTACAGAACGCGTGCAAACATGCATCATGTAGCTCTGTGTCAAATGTAAACCACATTGTGTAAAAGTCATGTAAATTGGAGGTGTTTATCACAAAATCCAGATTTCCTTTGGCCAGCAGGTGGCGCTGTGAGTATTAGGGAAAATTAGCTTCTAGACATCCTCAGGCCATGAGTGTTATCAAGCATGTGAAGTTTGGGACCGTTTGGAACAAGTCCAGCTGAGTTACATCAGACGTTTCCTTTAGCCAGTAGGCTTTGCGGGTTTACTGTAGCGCCCCCTAGTGGTCGAATGCAAATCAATTCTCAGGGTATGTTACTGGATGCGAGAAATTATGTGTATTGATATTTTGCAACGCACCTAAGAAGTGTATTGGTCCATATCTTGTAAACGCAGAGATATCAAAAAGATCCTGATAACTTTTGATGATCTAGATCCACTTATGATCCACAGCAAATTGCGTAGAAATCGGAGCCAAAAGTAGGAGTTCGCAAAAATGTTTTTTTTCCACTAAATTCAAAATGGCTGACTTCCGGTTAGGTTTAGAGCTTAGAGCTCAGGGGGCTTTTTTGTCAGTCTACATGTGATACATCTGTTTACCAAATGTTATACATCTAAATTTTATATATAGATAGTGAAATGTACTGCGAGGGCTGCATTGTCGAAATATTGTATAAATTCATACAAAATTGAAAATGGCAGACTTCCTGTAGGGTTTGGAGCATGGTCCCAAGAGACTTATTTTTAAGTCTCCATAGGATACATGTGCCCAACAAGTTTCATACATGTAGCCAAAACGTAGTGCTGGGGCTGCTCTTTTGAAATATTGTAGGGGGCGCTATAGAGGCAATTTAAAACGGCTCTAGCTCAAGTGGACATGTGTGTCAAATTTCAAGTCAATCGGACATACTGGCCGAGGAGCGTCGCCGGTCCGACTTGTAGGGGGCGCTAGAGAGCCATTTCTTAACACAGAAAGATGCATTCTTTTTCAGATGGCTATTTTCACCAGGCCTAACAAGTCCCCAAAATTTGGTGAGTTTTCATGCATTGCAAGTCCTCCAACCATGCGTACGGTTACTCAAACGGGTACAATATCAATAGGGCCTTCGCGGCCCGATGTTGTCGGTAGCTCGGGCCCTAATTAAAGCTGCAAGCAGTGATGTACGGGCCCTCGCACCTTCCCGCCTCTCGGGGGTACTGGCGGGACGCTGGCAGACGCAGGCGTGAATGTCTTTGACCATCGGACAACGCATCCCGGAGTTCAACGTATTTTTCCAGCGTGGACTGTGTGACGCTGGAAATTATGTAGTGCAAATATTACACCACTTACTGTATCCACTATGTGGCGCTAGAGAACACACGCAAACATATGTTGCTCTACATCAGGGGTCACTGATAGGCGGACCGCGGTCCAGATCCGGACCCAGAACCTAAAACCAATAGATAATTGACAATTATAAAATTTTGACGGAGCGCTTCTATTTTAACCGGCGCAGCTTTTCCAGCCGTTACGGCACTTGTTCAGCGGTGCAGGAAACACACCGACCAATGCGTTCAAATCACATCACATGATGCAGCTCAGCCAATCAAATATGAGTATTCTGACAAGTTTCCTGAATCGAGTGAGATTTACACACACCGGGGGAGAGATGAGGAAAGAGAATGAAGAGCAGGAGAATAATACGTGAGTCAGAGAAGTTATTTCACATGACGTTCTCCAAAAAGAGAAAAGTGGTCAGTGAGACCAGAGTCTTTAACCAAGAATGAACAGACCCTTATAGGTTAATTCTTCCCACAGACAGTTTATAACCAGTGTGTCTCACATGTTCAGAGACCGTGGAGATTATTAAAAGCGGTAAAAGCCACACTACGAGACAAAGCACAACTCTTTTGAGCAAATGTACCCACTCACATCTGAATGAAGACACAGAAAATAAACCTAAGAGCCCAATATGATCAGAATCCTGACACAGTAATTCACTGTCCAACAATGATGATGTTACCAGAGAGAATAGAGCTGAAAGTGGTTTAATAACTACAGAGAAAGTCCCTGAACACTGATTTATCTTGTTAGAAGATAACAAAAATATAATATTGTGGCTTTTTGATTGACATCACTTCACACCTGAATGAAGTGAATTTAAAGCTGCAGGACAATTCAGTGAAATTAATTTTTCTAAAATGAATTACTTTATTTAAAGATGCACATTAAAAAGCTTTCTGTTATGTCAGTTATTCTTTAATCCAGCCATTATTTTACTTGAAATGAGAAGAACATTTATTTATGTATGTCTATCTATTATTTATAATCCATCCAGTTAAATTTGAAAACTGAGAATAATAATTGTTAAATTAAAGCTGTAAGCAGCATTGATCGGACCCTCGCAACTTCACGCATGTCGAGTGTACTGGTAGGACTCTGGTTGACGCAGCCACGCATTTCTGTGACCATCATACACAGCGCCTGGAAATTGCAAAAAACTATGGCGCTATCAAATTTTCCCGCAGTCCTGATATGCTCGCCAAATATGGGGAGGTTGGGGACATGATAAAGCCCCCAAAAAGGTGTTTCATTTGAGAGAATAATAATAATAATAATAATAATAATAATAATAATTCGTACAGTTTCAATAGGGACCTCGCGGCCCGACGTTGTCGGTGCTCGGGCCCTAATAAAGAAGATAACTAACCTTTCGCTTTGGTAAATGAAGTAACATAACTTATTTTAACCTGTTGAAAACCGTTCTGCTCTTGGCGTCCTTAAGCTGCATGCCCTGTGCACAGATAATAACTAACATTGTGTTGTTAGTACTAACAATTTAATGCCACATGGGGCAGTAATACCAACCACGGTCTAACAGTGTACTTTATCTCAAGAAGAAATTGAACTTGTCCTTTCTGACTCCTACAGTAGGAACTGTGATCAAGGACTTCTGGTCCTCCTTCAGTCCTAAAGTCAAGATGAACTAAAGAAAAAACCTTTCTTACCCTTTTAGATCACATCACTGCTCATTTTGTTCACCTTTCTAACAATACATGCAAAACATTACAAAATAATCTATTTCTTCCTATTTTCATCCTGTAAAACAAAATATGAAGTGTGCTTACTTTAGCTATTAACCAATGTCATCCCCAAAATATCATGACATCCATCAATCAATCTGCAACTTCAAGGGAGGTGTGTGGAGCCAGTCATCTGTAGCTCCGTATTGACTGTAGTCCAATCAAATGCAAAGGACTTGATTTAAATTGCTCTCATAGCTGTGCACCGCTCAGATATTCCCTTTCACTGGGGAACACTTCACAGTGCAGAAGATGAAGACGCTCTAACTTGCGTTTCACTGGGCTTCAATATGCCTGAAATGAACTAGGTCATACAACGTGTCCGACCACATCATCTGGACGAGGTGAATGTTAAAATGGAGACAACAGCAGACACTTTGGAACAGTCTAACCACGAAATCGTGCACTTACAGAGTTGAGAATATTGATTTAAGTTGAACATACTTGCCTAAAAACAAAGAAAAGGATGGATGCGTGGTGTCCAGGCCCCTCCCCTAGTGCATGCTACATACTTCTATACAAGCTCTGTTCAAGTGACACATCAGTCATATTGACCCGCATAATTACCTCCATAACAGGTTTTGTTCCACGGGGACTGGAAGTGTAGCTAGCTGCCTGAAGCAGCTACAAGTTATTTCAAGTGTGCTGCACGACGCAGTCACAGAGCAGACAGGAAGATGTTAGGAGTCAGGGTGGCCACAAAAGCCATGACCCGTCCTACTCTGCCTCTGATTGGCTAGTGCCTCTTTTGGTTGGGTTGGTTAGGTGATGAGGAATGAGATTGGTTAGGATAGGCAGAGTGGGGTGGGACATGCCTTTGCTATCTGATGAAAAAATATTACCGCCACAGGGTGAAGTAGATCCCCGACAAGACAGAAAATGTGCTATGCCTGTTATCTCAGATGACTTTCACCATTGCTTACTGATGGCAGCCATTGTGGCAGACTCACCAATGACCCACTGGATCCAGATGACATCATAGCGTCCATTCTCCGGTACGAGGTCCTGCAGGCCGCTGCAGAGGTACTTCCCCACCCTCTTGCCCTCCTCTCCCAGGTACGTCCTGGCTTTGTCTAGAAACTCCTGCGTCACGTCCACCAGGTCCACCGTCTTGAACAGAGGCAGCAGGAGACGTTTGGTGATCCTCCCAATGCCTGCTCCACAGTCCAGAGCGCAGTCCGTGCCCGTCTTCCCATTCCCTTCCTTCAACAGCAAAAACACACGAGATTGCAAATTAATGCAGATTAGTGGTGTAACGGATCACGGCTCGATCCGTGATCGGTTCGGTTCACACCTCACAGTTCGGCACACTTGTGAACCGCAGATTAATTTAGTTTTTTACATTATTACAGTGTATTTGAATGACATAACCTGACAGGAAGTAAACATAGACCCAAGTTGTTGCCGAGCAGTTCAGTTCAGTTGAAACAGTGGAAGCTAGCTCACTGGCTGTTTCTTTCTTTCAGTATTGATCAAAGGACGAGGGTATCAACATACCTCATGTTGCACTTAAACTTAACAGAATTGAGTATTCTTTAATGTTTTATTTTTATTTGTTTTTTTATTTCATTTTGTTTCACATTGGACATCTTCAATATTTTTGTTGTTATGTAAGACTATAGCCCAAAGTTCTTTTCTTTAAGTGTTCTTGAAGTTCTTTAATTAATAAATAGAAAGCAAAGTTATATTTGTCTCCTCCCCTTTTCTTTGCTGATCCAAAAAATGATCCGAACCCTGACTCAAGAACCGTGATCCGAACCGAACTGTGATGTTTGTGATGAAATTGGTAATTCACTGTCAGACATCTTAGAAAGTTTCTTACACCAAGGAACTTGTGCAGGAAAGCCTTGGATCCATTGATGTCGATGTTGGAGATGCTGCCGTAGCCCCCCAGCATGCCATCCACTGTGGGGGGGACCTCCTTCCAGTAGTCCTCTGCATTGGAGTAGAAGCTTGTCTCACCTTCTGCTATGTCACCCATCCTGTCAAAGTACACAGATGAGACAGTTCACTCAGAGAAAAAGCTCCACTAACTACTACTCATAAGCTGTACAAAAATACAGTCCAAGGCTTCTGGAACTAAAAATATGAACAGTCTGGTGCCTTACCTGCATTATATTACGCTCTGTTTTATTACTATCTTTTGTACTTTGTACCATCTTTTTATCATATTTTATTCATGTAAAACCCACCGTGTGTTTATATACACACACACACATTTCTCCCCCCCCCCTCGCTCTCTCTCGAGACACACACACACACACACACACACACACACACACACACCAGCTGTCAGCACCCATCAGCCTCATCTCATCTATTTATAATGACTATTTCAAAGATGCTAATCAACAGGCGTGCTACATGTGTTGAAGCACAACTTGATTAGGTATCTATAGAAAACTTCACCCCCAACTGAGAGCCTATAACACCACATATGAGCCAAGTACCACGACATGACACAGGTACATGACGTTAACGTGACTCTTCTATGAGCACTGACGCTGCTCAATGTGTTTCACACACACTTAAATAGAATTTGAAAAAGTCCTGTTAGTAATAACGGAGCTGTGGCTGCTATTACAGCGCGAGCTTGGAGCCGACGTCATGGCCACTTGCACGTGGAGAGGTAAAGTTGTAAATAGAGCGGAACCTTTACAATATGAGATATTGAACTCATTTTTTAAAAGCTATTCGTTAATAATAACATATTTTCATCATGAAACACTTTGAGTTTCAAACAGATAAGTTTCTAAATTAACTTTCATACTGTTCACTACAACCTAACGTTAAGTGACATCATCAGGACCAGCACGTGCTAACTTTTAGATGTTGTAGTTTTAGCCAAGCAGCTAGCTAGCCGGTGACAGCTCTGTTTCCAGGGGAACAGACTAAACTCTTGATAACAACACTTACCTCGTCTCGTGTCAGCTCCCTCACCCTCCTCTCCCTCTCAATGGCCCGGTCCGGTGTCACTGCTTCCTTTCTATTTGAGAATCGGCTCCATGGCTGTGAACGTGCAGCACGTCATTTCCTTATTTGGTTCCCGGGAGAAGACGTGACAACAGCGCCCCTACTGGCCGACTTCACTCAGGTCTTCTTACACGTTGTTATCATATTCACGACTTCATCTGGAAAACATCAAAGAATTGATTAGTCGAATAAACTACATTTGAATGTATACAAAAGTCAATGTAATTAAAGCATGCTATGAAATGGAATGGAAAAATAAGGATTTAATATTTGACTTTCACATATACATGGAGACCAACGCTAGTATGTAGTCAAAGAATCATTCAAATGTTTATACTCAAGGGGTTAATTTATAGTTTAGGAGAGGAAGTGTCACTTAACTTTTGCTGAAACAAGATTATAATTAAAACTCATACTCTGGGTTTAAGGAGTGGATTTGAGAAATACTGAGATTGTGATGACAAGTTATAGTTTGTACTTACTCAACTGTTTGATGGTCATTTCTATAAACACCTCTCAACATGGAGGTCTGAATTGTGTTTTAAAAGCTTCTCCGCAAAGCCAAAGAAAAATGAATCTGTTTATTTGTTTTGCTTAGAAAAAAAAGGTGCACGGAGAGAGGAAAGCACACTTGTAGTATTAAGAACAATTCACTTGTCACACTGACATATATAATCAAATGAATAATGTCTGATTTCCCTTTAGCTGCTTTATTTTCAGGGTCCTGGTGTTGTTCATACTGGCGCACTGTTTACTGTGACCCTTGAATACTAACACCTTCTTCTTCTATGGCGAGTGAGGATATATGCTGTGAAGAAGGCCTCACCAGCAGTGTGAGACTGTTCTTCTGACCAACTTCTGTTTGAATGTGTGTACCTTTGAGAGTGGGACAAATGTTGACATGCTCTGCAGTGGGTTAAACTCGTGGGGCCTTCGCTTACAAAGAGCTGCAGTGCAGCAAATAAAGCACAAGGGGGCAGTGCGGTATTGAGCCATGAATGATCCACTTGTGACCTGTCCTGCTTTGAGAACTTTGTCAGAGCAGTGTTCTGTCAGATGAAGTCATGCCATACCCTCAGCAGTGGTAGGCCGTCAGGGCCAGCTAAGCCTTCTCTGCTGGCCTAAACAGAATCACAAAGTTATAGCTATTTTATAATTTAATAATTTTTCACAAATACACTCCATGTATTCTAATTATTTTTCCCATTATCTTATTTTCTCATTGCACAGCTCCTGTCTTCCTCTGTTGCTCTGCTTCCAGCACAGCTTGTGTTAAGTAGAGCTTTTATCCAATCAGATTCAGCCCCTATGTCTCTATGTAAGGAGAGAGGCCCGATGCCCGCTAGAGAGCCTTTGCAGTTTAAGTGAATGGGGACGATATTGTTGATTGTCATATTCTTCAACCAATCTGATCTTTAGTTTGACATGTTGGGCGTATTCTTTGATGTGTCAGAGCCTGCTGGCCGGCCTACAACTACGTCAGCATTAACGGGCAGCTCAGTTTTCAGGTGCAGCTCTGCAGTGAGGTGCAGCGTGTGCTGTGATTGGTCAGTGGGCGAGCATGTGACTATTGGAAAACGAAACTTAAGCAGAGGCTTAGTCGGATTAGTAAGTGTTCAAATTGAAAGATATGGAATAAATTATGACATTTTTTGCATTTTGCTTGGTGTAGATTTTTTTTTTTTTAACGCTCAATGGCTGAAGGAGGAGAAACAGATTTGTGAGTTGGGATTTAACCGTGGGATTAAACTGTTTGTCAACAAAGAAAGGAGGATGGAGTTTGTCTTTAAGTGAACAGCATTTGGTAAGTCAACTGCATTTGTTTTTTTACATCTAATATCTTAATGACCCTCGAGTGTGTAGCAGAATGCGTGTTGCTGCAGGTCTGCTGGATTGATTTGTTGCTCTGTTGTCATATGAATATATGTGACTGGTTCTTGTGAGTTTGTTGTTGTCATTGTGTTAATTATATAGATTTGGACTATATTCATTGTTCGTTAATTACGAAGCATACCGTCATGCACAGAGTTATTGTTTGTTAAGCTAGTTTAGCGTAACCTCCCAGAAGTACGGGGCCTCAGCTGTTTTTTGTTATTGTTCCGGGTTCAGAGGTCACAGTCCGTTGTCTCCTACGTGAGCGCAGTCCACTGAAAACATTATATTTCCCACAATTTAAGCTTCTGAATTTTCCAAATGCACTAGTATTATTCAAATGTATTGTTCGGTTCGTAAGCCTCGTACCGAACGGTTTAATACGAATATGTGTATTGTTACACCCCTAGAAACAAATAATAACCGTAGCTGTGCCACCATCGTGAGATTATTAGGAGGTGTTTCAGCTGAAGGACAGCAGTGAAGGCCCAGGTATAAAATGCACGGCCCGCCACTGGTCTTAACGAGTGTCAGTTTGTCCCAAGAGACGTATTTACATGATATCGAGGGAAGAGGAATGTAGAGTAGGTTTATACTACAAACGTGCTTCATGTAGGCCTATTAACAGAGAGGGACGTTATGAGACACTTTACTGAATACACTTCATTTTGTTCAATTCAATGACTGTCAGTGACTATGTTTCCATGACGACTGAGTACATTCCATATACTGATGAAAGCCATTAGACATGACTGAAAGCTCCAGAAGAAGCTAGCGTTACAGGTATTCTGTCTGACTGACTGTCGTTTTTTTACAGCAGCTGTGTGTAGAATTTATTTCTGCCACAGTGGCTTTTCTGCTCCGAGCTCTGGGAAGCGGAAACAAGTCAGAAATCGCCACCAGACTAGTCACACACACGTCAGATTGTCTGTTTCAGAGAGTTACAGTCCTCCTGATTCACTAAGACGCTGAGACACTAAAGGGGCCGCTTCTAACTGTCTTCTGTTCAGTCTTGGATTGTAAATTCAGTCTTTTTCATTCAGTTCAGTAAACTCATATTATCCCTCTTTCTAAGGTTAGGAGTAACAGAGAGGCGTGTGTCCGTAGCTTCTTCTTTTTTTTTCTTTCATTAAGTTTGAACCAGAACACAGAACACTCAATCTCATTCCCAGGTGTCAAATGCTGACGTCATGATAGCAACGCACAAGGCGTCCTCTAGTGTCTGTATGAGACGCAAGCATCTATAATGTAAACCATCGACGTCATTATTAGACGCTCAGAGAAAATGCTCCGGGAGTATGATGACGTCGTGTAAAGATGTAGGGAGGCTCTAAGACCGCAGGACTCTCAACCAGGAGACAGCTGTTTGACACTGGGGTTGAGGTTTTACTTTAAGTTATGTGTTTTCCCTACGTTTGTTCTTTTTGAACTCGTTTACGTACTTATTGTACTTACTTATCTTTAACTCAGTGGTTTTGTTGTTTGAAACTTAACAAGAGTTTTGTTTGAATTCACAACGTTAACCACGTGTTTGCGTTAGAAAGTGACACCCTAGGGTCTGACCAAGTGTCAGTATGTGATGAGTCGGCATGAGAACGTGTTGGAACACAGTGGATCAAGGCTGAGCTGTCATCTGAATTTCCAGAGCTCCAGTGAAACAATACCGTTTTTATTGGTGACACTAGCGATCCTGTACCTTCAGCTCAGCTTGAGGATGCAGTTGTAGTGCGCTCCTCTACGTCCTTCGTGCTCTGTGTTGTGGAACATCAACAGCGCACTCAAAAGAGCTAGTATGCACACTGAGTTTGTTTCTCTTCCAGTGTGAACACACATGCGCTTGGGTAACCATAGCAACAAGACTGATGGTTCACAGATTGTTACCAGTTAACTCACTGTTGGTACTAACCATGTGAGTGATGGTCTGAGAACACCGCTGTGTAGCCTTCCTTCTTGGTAAGTGGCCTTGGTATGAGCAAGATGGAGCAGTGAGCTGTCACCAGGTTTTATCATGTAAAATGTTCAGATTTCAGTCCTGGTTCATTTACAATTTCTATTTGAGTGAAAACAGTCTGGAGTCTTGGGCTGCATCTCATTTGTTATACTAACATGTTACTTTTCAGTTCCATTTTTTCCATTTTGTGTAAACAATGCAGAAAACTGTATTTTTCTGCAAATGTCGCCACAGTCATCCAGTTGATAATACTGCAAATATATAAATATTGTAATACTTTCATTAGTGGTCCATAGGCTCAATCTCCACACAGAGACTGAACAGACATGTATTTCAATGAAAATCTTCAATATTGCCACTTTAAGGAGCCACCAGAGAGGCTGCGGCTGTGGAATAGACCTGAGAACATGCAGCTGGTCATGTCCTCTTATAACAAACAAGATGACAGTACAAACGAGTGAATTCCTTTTAGGCGAGTTCCAGGGTCCTGGTATTGTGCATGCTGGCTCACACTGACATTTGTTTCACCTGTGCTTTTCCTGCTAATGTTTGAAGAAGCATTTAGACTTTAAACATTTAGATTTTAGAAACTTCACCAACGCTGTTTCAAATATATTTGTTATATGTTCAGTATATCGTTGTGTTAAAGCGCATTTCCATTTTCATTCACAAATATGAAACCGATAATATGAATGATACAGGATCACATTTCCTAAAATCCTAAAAATATACGAAAATAAATAATTTAATTAAATAAGATTTGACCAAGACACAATATATGTGTAGAATGTAAAATAAAGGAGACATCAATTAAATCTTCTAGGCGTAAGAAGGCATCACAGATCTTCCTTATCTACCTAACGCTGTTTCCCTGTCCCCCTTCTCTCACTCACCGGCTCATTAGATGAATGAAACATTGTAGAAGTAAAGGCTACAGTGCTATATGTGAGGTGTGACGTGAGGGGAGGACAAATGGTATCACACTGTGAGTCTGCCCTTTAATATGTATCGTATCCTTTCCAAATGTAATGTACTGCACTCCTGAGTAAATATCTGTCTCTTCGGCAGCTGAATGCTCCACTGTGTTCACCAGCTGGTCTCTAGCTGAGTCTGTGTACTGTTTGCTGCTGAGCAGAAAGTGTACAGAGGCTTTATCAAAGCTTTTCACTGAAAACAGCAGCCTGCTGTGACCGACAAAGACACACAAAGAACCAAAACCATGAGCTGAAAGACGCTATAAAGCTCTGTAGGGGAACTGCAGTCAGGTGACAATGCTCTGTTTGTTCATCACTATGAGCAACCCTCTTCACATTCAGGTAGTCATGTGAAACACTTAATATGAAAACACTGATTGTACCAGCAATAAACTAAAATAGAACAAAGGTTTTCTGTATTGCTCAGTCTAGAGCAGGTTGTGAAACAACATTAGTGAAGGAACACATATTACTAGAACGATCTTCATTGGAACATTTTGTATGGATGGACTAATGAGGTGGATTTGTAATTTCGTACAGTTTTGTATGATTATTGTTATTGTTTGATTCATCATTTTTGGAAACAGCTTACATAATCAAGATGCTCAGTATAAACTGTTCCTCATGTATGAAGAGAGGCGGTCTGGTGATGTTTTTGTACAGCCCTAACTTGACATGAAGCAGAGTTGAACCAATAGTCAAAGACCTGTGTTATGTTCAAGTACACCACACTAGCTAGCTATAGAATCAGGCTGCTCTAACGGTGTCCCAGAGGAGCACAGGCTGTGTGTGTTTTAACAATTCAACCTTTACTGTGGCACATTGTATTTGTAAAGCCAGGTGAGACAAAGTTCTCTGTCTGTCATGTCATGTTGTATATAAGAAGTTCTCTTCTCTTCTGAAAAGTGTTGTTAAACCACTGTAATTTCATTAAAGTCCACGTGGGCTGGACACACACAGTAAACAACACTACTGCTACACACATTGTAAATACTGCTGCTGATAGAATATGCTCCTCACATAATGAAGAGTCTGAGTGTGAGACAAAGGGGAAAGACATCAATGACAACAGAAGTAGTGAAGGAGACGAGCAGACAAAAAACATTGTAATAACACACTGAGAGAGATTTGAGAAAGAAGATTCATGGAGGGAAGAGGAAAGGAAAGAGAGACAGAGGGAGACAACTGGAGCCCACCGATGTGGCTGCTGCACAGTTGCTTTAGTGCATTTTCTCATAAATATTTCAGGGAGGTAAACTCCCCCTCAACACCTCCATCCTGCTCTCACTGCCGTGGTTTGGACTGCAGAGAGAGACAGAGAGAGACAGAGAGAGACAGTGGAAAGAAACTGACCTTCGCTCAGCTCTGACATGATCCAAACTAAACAAAAGCTTCTGTGGAAAAGTGGAAAATCTTTATTTAAATATATTTAATATTTATTTATCTCATGAATATTACTGACTGTACGTGTATGTTAGTTTAGTTGTATTTAAAAATAATAAAGCAGCACCCAGCATGAAGACCACCGCCAGGAAGCCGAACATGAACTTGGGACGTTGCCGTGATATGGCATGTGCTGCATCCACGCGGCTAACAAGGTGCTCCAACCTTTCTTTTTTGAATCTGTCTACATGCAATTTAAGGTCGTTATTCATGTCTGTTTATGATTTGTTTTCCGAATACATATTCCTAAATATATTGCCAATTAAGAAGCACACTGTGAGCTTTGGGTAACGGCCCCAGAGCACTTTCCTGCTTTGTGAAGTGAGTAATGCAGCCCTTTTGATTTACTGTGATTAACACTGCTTACAAATACAGTAGATGTTACTCATTCTTTGGCTTGGTAGAGACCCTATTAGCTGGTGGAAGACAGTCCAAGCTTGCACATCATTAGCAGCGGACACAGGGACAGATGGAGGTGTGATCCACCGGGCTGCAGAGAGGGAGACAGGCAGAGGGGGAAAGAGAGACAAGGAGACAGACAAAGATACAAGGCTGTTCTATCCC